ATTAGTTAACAAGTAGAAATATAAAATTATTTTCTCTATCCCAGGCTCTTGAATTCTCATTATTTGGTAAACTTTGTGGTAAACAAACAAAGATTCAAGAGCCGGGAATAGATAAAAATTGAGACGAAAAAAGTGACAAAGAAAAATTATTAAAAAACTTAGAAATGGAAAGATGAAAAAACTGAAGGAGAAAAATTTATGAAAACTGAGAAATGGAAGGAACCAAAATTGAGAAAAAATTGGTTAACAAGTAAAAATTTAAAATTATTTTCTCTATTCCAGGCTCTTGAATTCTCATTATTTGGTGTAAACTTTGTGGTAAACAAACAAAGATTCAAGAGCCGGGAATAGATAAAAATTGAGACGAAAAAAGTGAGAAAGAAAAATTATTAAAAAACTTAGAAATGGAAAGATGAAAAAACTGAAGGAGAAAAATTTATGAAAACTGAGAAATGGAAGGAACCAAAATTGAGAAAAAATTGGTTAACAAGTAAAAATTTAAAATTATTTTCTCTATTCCAGGCTCTTGAATTCTCATTATTTGGAAAAATTTGTAGAAAACTAAGATTCAAAAACCGAGAATAGATAAAAATTGAGACGAAAAAAATGACTAAGAAAAATTATTAAAAACTTAGGAATGGAAAGACGAAAAACTGAAGGAGAAAATTTTATGAAAACTCAGAAATGGAAGGAACCAAAATTGAGAAAAAATTAGTTAACAAGTAAAAATATAAAATTATTTTCTCTATTCCAGGCTCTTGAATTCTCATTATTTGGTAAACTTTGTGGTAAACAAACAAAGATTCAAGAGCCGGGAATAGATAAAAATTGAGACGAAAAAAGTGACAAAGAAAAATTATTAAAAAACTTAGAAATGGAAAGATGAAAAAACTGAAGGAGAAAAATTTATGAAAACTGAGAAATGGAAAGAACCAAAATTGAGAAAAAATTAGTTAACAAGTAGAAATATAAAATTATTTTCTCTATTCCAGGCTCTTGAATTCTCATTATTTGGTAAACTTTGTGGTAAACAAACAAAGATTCAAGAGCCGGGAATAGATAAAAATTGAGACGAAAAAAGTGACAAAGAAAAATTATTAAAAAACTTAGAAATGGAAAGATGAAAAAACTGAAGGAGAAAAATTTATGAAAACTGAGAAATGGAAGGAACCAAAATTGAGAAAAAATTAGTTAACAAGTAGAAATATAAAATTATTTTCTCTATTCCAGGCTCTTGAATTCTCATTATTTGGTAAACTTTGTGGTAAACAAACAAAGATTCAAGAGCCGGGAATAGATAAAAATTGAGACGAAAAAAGTGACAAAGAAAAATTATTAAAAAACTTAGAAATGGAAAGATAAAAAAACTGAAGGAGAAAAATTTATGAAAACTGAGAAATGGAAAGAACCAAAATTGAGAAAAAATTAGTTAACAAGTAGAAATATAAAATTATTTTCTCTATTCCAGGCTCTTGAATTCTCATTATTTGGAAAAATTTGTGGAAAACAAAGATTCAAGAGCCGAAAATGGATTAAAATTGTGACAAAGAAAAATTATTAAAAAACTTAGAAATGGAAAGACGAAAAAACTGAAGAAGAAAAATTTATGAAAACTGAGAAATGGAATGAACCAAATTGAGAAAAAATTGGTTAACAAGTAAGAATATAAAAGTATTGTCTTTATTCCTGGCTCTTGAATTCTGTTTATTTGGAAAAACTTGTAGAAAACAAAGATTCAAGAGCCGGGAATAAATAAAAATTGAGACGAAAAAAGTGACAAAGAAAAATTATTAAAAAACTTAGAAATGGAAAGATGAAAAAACTGAAGGAGAAAAATTTATGAAAACTGAGAAATGGAAGGAACCAAAATTGAGAAAAAATTAGTTAACAAGTAGAAATATAAAATTATTTTCTCTATCCCAGGCTCTTGAATTCTCATTATTTGGTAAACTTTGTGGTAAACAAACAAAGATTCAAGAGCCGGGAATAGATAAAAATTGAGACGAAAAAAGTGACAAAGAAAAATTATTAAAAAACTTAGAAATGGAAAGATGAAAAAACTGAAGGAGAAAAATTTATGAAAACTGAGAAATGGAAGGAACCAAAATTGAGAAAAAATTGGTTAACAAGTAAAAATTTAAAATTATTTTCTCTATTCCAGGCTCTTGAATTCTCATTATTTGGTGTAAACTTTGTGGTAAACAAACAAAGATTCAAGAGCCGGGAATAGATAAAAATTGAGACGAAAAAAGTGAGAAAGAAAAATTATTAAAAAACTTAGAAATGGAAAGATGAAAAAACTGAAGGAGAAAAATTTATGAAAACTGAGAAATGGAAGGAACCAAAATTGAGAAAAAATTGGTTAACAAGTAAAAATTTAAAATTATTTTCTCTATTCCAGGCTCTTGAATTCTCATTATTTGGTGTAAACTTTGTGGTAAACAAACAAAGATTCAAGAGCCGGGAATAGATAAAAATTGAGACGAAAAAAGTGACAAAGAAAAATTATTAAAAAACTTAGAAATGGAAAGATGAAAAAACTGAAGGAGAAAAATTTATGAAAACTGAGAAATGGAAAGAACCAAAATTGAGAAAAAATTAGTTAACAAGTAAAAATTTAAAATTATTTTCTCTATTCCAGGCTCTTGAATTCTCATTATTTGGTAAACTTTGTGGTAAACAAACAAAGATTCAAGAGCCGGGAATAGATAAAAATTGAGACAAAAAAAGTGACAAAGAAAAATTATTAAAAAACTTAGAAATGGAAAGATGAAAAAACTGAAGGAGAAAAATTTATGAAAACTGAGAAATGGAAGGAACCAAAATTGAGAAAAAATTAGTTAACAAGTAGAAATATAAAATTATTTTCTCTATTCCAGTCTCTTGAATTCTCATTATTTGGTGTAAACTTTGTGGTAAACAAACAAAGATTCAAGAGCCGGGAATAGATAAAAATTGAGACGAAAAAAGTGACAAAGAAAAATTATTAAAAAACTTAGAAATGGAAAGATGAAAAAACTGAAGGAGAAAAATTTATGAAAACTGAGAAATGGAAAGAACCAAAATTGAGAAAAAATTAGTTAACAAGTAAAAATTTAAAATTATTTTCTCTATTCCAGGCTCTTGAATTCTCATTATTTGGAAAAATTTGTAGAAAACTAAGATTCAAAAACCGAGAATAGATAAAAATTGAGACGAAAAAAGTGACTAAGAAAAATTATTAAAAACTTAGGAATGGAAAGACGAAAAACTGAAGGAGAAAATTTTATGATAACTCAGAAATGGAAGGAACCAAAATTGAGAAAAAATTGGTTAACAAGTAAAAATTTAAAATTATTTTCTCTATTCCAGGCTCTTGAATTCTCATTATTTGGTAAACTTTGTGGTAAACAAACAAAGATTCAAGAGCCGGGAATAGATAAAAATTGAGACGAAAAAAGTGACAAAGAAAAATTATTAAAAAACTTAGAAATGGAAAGATGAAAAAACTGAAGGAGAAAAATTTATGAAAACTGAGAAATGGAAAGAACCAAAATTGAGAAAAAATTAGTTAACAAGTAGAAATATAAAATTATTTTCTCTATTCCAGGCTCTTGAATTCTCATTATTTGGTAAACTTTGTGGTAAACAAACAAAGATTCAAGAGCCGGGAATAGATAAAAATTGAGACGAAAAAAGTGACAAAGAAAAATTATTAAAAAACTTAGAAATGGAAAGATGAAAAAACTGAAGGAGAAAAATTTATGAAAACTGAGAAATGGAAGGAACCAAAATTGAGAAAAAATTGGTTAACAAGTAAAAATTTAAAATTATTTTCTCTATTCCAGGCTCTTGAATTCTCATTATTTGGTAAACTTTGTGGTAAACAAACAAAGATTCAAGAGCCGGGAATAGATAAAAATTGAGACGAAAAAAGTGACAAAGAAAAATTATTAAAAACTTAGGAATGGAAAAACGAAAAAACTGGAAGAAAAATTAATGAAAACTGAGAAATGGAATGAACCAAATTGAGAAAAAATTGGTTAACAAGTAAGAATATAAAAGTATTGTCTTTATTCCTGGCTCTTGAATTCTCTTTATTTGGAAAAACTTGTAGAAAACAAAGATTCAAGAGCCGGGAATAAATAAAAATTGAAACTAAAAAAGTGACAAAGGAACAAATTGAGAAAAAAAATATAACTGTTGTTCAGCAATTTATCTAAAGAAAAAGCGTAAAAAGCTTCAGAAATTCAGATTGTAGATGGTTGGACAACGGAAGAAGAATACCTGGATGAAGCAAATATCCTTGACTTTGCACTACTAGTGTTATCTCAGACAAGCTGATGTGCAATTTATAGACTTGTTCTAACATGGTTGAAGATGTAGATTCCAGATAAAAAAGAAGAAAACCTTCTACAATATTTATTATGAAAAGCTTAATGTGTTCTAAACAAGATTGAAAGTGAAAGTGTAAAGTATATTCCGAAGCAGTGATGTAAATAGCAAGCAAATATATCATTTAACAAAGCAGACATAAACAAACCTGATACTGCATAGTAAGCAAAACATGATTTTTATCCAGTTACTCGTCAATTTTGCTAAAATATTCTTCACTTTAAGCTCTCAAATATTGCTCTGTCACCTGTATATTTGCACTTACCTCGATTATAAAGCTCCCAATTCCAAAAGAAAACTTCCACAAACACAATAATAGCCATCACCGATTTTCCAGCTTAAAATTTAAAAGGCCTTAATGCTAAACGTATAAAGCCCCAACGAAATTACATTGGTGCGGAAAATAATGATGTCATTAATAAAGAATCTTTCAAGTGGCGCCATAAAAATACGCCAACACGTCAATGTGGTCCAAGATCCAAATTTATCCGAATTTCTAATTATATAAATAACTTTGGCAAAGCGCTAATTACGAAGCGGCATTTTTGTAAGCATTCCACGTGTTTTTTTATTTTTTTTTTGACTATATAAGCATTTTAATAATTATTAATGAAAATAATTCTTACCCAGAATACGGTGCAAGTTTGGCCAAAAACGGTGGTCCTTCGGACAAAGCAGCTTCCGCCGTGCCTGGATAAGTCAAACTCGGTACTTTTTTCCTTTTGCACAGCTCGTACTCGGTCCGCACAAGCATGTGCATGCAATAAGTGCACAGCATTCCGATCAAGGCCGTTCCGATTATACCCAAAACGTATCCGGAGTGAGAAAATGCCAGGGGCATTGCCAGAATTCCCGTACCGAAGCTGCTTTTGAGCAAATGGATTAGGGTCTCGAAGTTTCTGGAAAAGAAAATTGTATGTATAAGTGCATCCAAAGTCCTGCTAGATTATTGTCTCGCCATATTTTGGCAACGTCATTTGTGTTTATTTTTGCCAAAAAATTTTAATGTCTGGACGTGCAAAGCACGCGAAACTTTTCATCAATTGGAAACACGTGATTTTGATGCAGTGAAAGCTGTTTGAACGAAAACACATTTGAAAAATTGATTTATTTTGATGATGTATCTATTTTTTTGATTTCAAAGGTTTGTTTTGTTGAGAAAAATTATTTAAATTTGGATCCAACGATCGAAGCAATTATTGAAGTGTTTTCATTGGATCATTCACATTTTCCTAACAAACTAATAAAAGGGACATTTTGAACGCGAGCCCGTAGGGCGAGGGTTTTGTTCTGAATTCTCTGGAAAAGTATCAAATTTCAACTCCTGGGCCATTTTAGAGTTACAGTTGAAATAGAGCGGTTTGAGAATGAGCTCACTTTGCATCTCCATAGAGCTAAAATTCAACTGAGAAGAATTAAAATTCTATTCCAGGCTCTGGAGTAGCTTTATTCGGACATGGAAAAGCTAAAGCTTTCGCCGATACTCTGGAAGCAGTTTTTACAGAAAATAAGGTTGTTGAGGATCCTGCTCAAGCTAAAGGTACAGCTAGAACCATTCAGGAATTAGTTGGAATTCAAACTCCCAAAATATCTACTATTTGTGACACCAAATGAAATAAAAAATTCAATTAAAAGTCCTAAAATTAAAAAAGGTCCCAGATTAGACGGTATAAAAAACTGTGGTATAAACAACAAACTGGTCAAGGAATTACCAGGAAGAGCTTATTCAGCTATAGCAAACTTAACTAATGCATTAAGGAATAACTACTTTCCTAATAACTGGAAAAAAGAGAAGAATAAAAATTCTATTCTAGGCTCTCCTAGAATATGAAACTCTAATTTCAGACCCAGACCATCCAAAGACAGAGAAACCAATTTTCGATTCTCTTGGAGTAGAAAAACATTTAAAATTTTGTTCCTGTCTGTTCTAGAGTGAAAATTGAACTGAAAAAGTATCAAATTCGATTTCTGACCATTTAAGAGTTACAGTTGAAATAGAGCGGTTTGAGAATGAGCTCATTTTGCACCCTCCATAGAGCTAAAATTCAACTGAGAAGAATAAAAATTCTATTCCATGCTCTCCTAGAATATGAAACTCCAATTTCAGACCATCCAAAGACAAAAAGACTCAATTTTGATCCTCTTGGAGTAGAAAAACATTTAAATTTTTGTTCTTGTCTGTCCTAGAGTAAAAATTGAACCAGAAAAGTATCAAATTCGATTCCTGACAATTTAAGAGTTACAGTTGAAATAGAGCGGTTTGAGAATGAGCTCGATTTGCATCCCCATAGAGCTAAAATTTAAGGGAAAATAATAAAAATTATATTACAGGCTCTCATAGGACATGAAACTCTAATTGCAGACTATCCAAAGGCAGAGACTGATTTTTGATCCTCTTGGAGTAGAAAAACATTGAAATTTTTGTTCCTATCTGTCCTAGAGTAAAAATTGAACTAGAAAAGTATCAAATTCGATTCCTGACCATTTAAGAGTTACAGTTTTAAATAGAGCGGCTTGAGAATGAGCTCGATTTGCACCCCCATAGAGCCCAAATTTAACTGACAAGAATAAAAATTCTATTCCAGGTTCTCCTAGAATATGAAACTCTAATTTCAGACCATCCAAAGACAGAAAGACTGATTTTTGATCCTTTTGAAGTAGAAAAACACTAAAATTTTTGTTCCTGCCTGTCCTAGAGTAAAAATTGTACTGGAAAAATATCAAATTCGATTTCTGACCATTTAAGAGTTACAGTTGAAATAGAGCGGTTTGAGAATGAGCTCGATTTGCATCCCCATAGAGCTAAAATTCAAGGGAAAAGAATAAAAATTCTATTCCAGGCTCTCGTAGGACATGAAACTCTAATTTCAGACCATCCAAAGAAAGAAAGACTAATTTTTGATCCTCTTGGAGTAGAAAAACATTAAAATTTTTGTTCTTGTCTGTCCTAGAGTAAAAATTGAACTGGAAAAGTATCAAATTCGATTCCTGACCATTTAAGAGTTACAGTTGAAATAATGCGGTTTGAGAATGGGCTCATTTTGTATCCTCATAGAGCTAAAATTCAACTGAGAAGAATAAAAACTCTATTCCAGGCTCTTTTAGAAAATGAAACTCTAATTTCAGACCATCCAAAGACAGAGAAACTAATTTTTGATCCTCTTGGAGTAGAAAAACATTAAAATTCTTGTTCCTGACTGTCCTGGAGTAAAAATTAAACCGGAAAAGTATCAAATTCGATTCCTGACCATTCAAGAGTTACAGTTTAAATAGAGCGGTTTGAGAATGAGCTCATTTTGCATCACCATAGAGCTCAAATTTAACTGACAAGAATAAAAATTCTATTCCAGGCTCTCGTAGGATATGAAACTCTAATTTCAGACCATCCAAAGACAGAAAGACTAATTTTTGATCCTCTTGGAGTAGAAAAACATTGAAATTTTTGTTCCTATCTGTCCTAGAGTAAAAATTGAACTAGAAAAGTATCAAATTCGATTCCTGACCATTTAAGAGTTACAGTTTAAATAGAGCGGCTTGAGAATGAGCTCGATTTGCACCCCCATAGAGCCCAAATTTAACTGACAAGAATAAAAATTCTATTCCAGGTTCTCCTAGAATATGAAACTCTAATTTCAGACCATCCAAAGACAGAAAGACTGATTTTTTGTTCTTGTCTGTCCTAGAGTAAAAATTGAACTGGAAAAGTATCAAATTCGATTCCTGACCATTTAAGAGTTACAGTTGAAATAATGCGGTTTGAGAATGGGCTCATTTTGTATCCTCATAGAGCTAAAATTCAACTGAGAAGAATAAAAACTCTATTCCAGGCTCTTTTAGAAAATGAAACTCTAATTTCAGACCATCCAAAGACAGAGAAACTAATTTTTGATCCTCTTGGAGTAGAAAAAACATTAAAATTCTTGTTCTTGTCTGTCCTAGAGTAAAAATTGAACTGGAAAAGTATCAAATTCGATTCCTGACCATTTAAGAGTTACAGTTGAAATAATGCGGTTTGAGAATGGGCTCATTTTGTATCCTCATAGAGCTAAAATTCAACTGAGAAGAATAAAAACTCTATTCCAGGCTCTTTTAGAAAATGAAACTCTAATTTCAGACCATCAAAAGACAGAGAAACTAATTTTTGATCCTCTTGGAGTAGAAAAACATTAAAATTCTTGTTCCTGACTGTCCTGGAGTAAAAATTAAACTGGAAAAGTATCAAATTCGATTCCTGACCATTTAAGAGTTACAGTTGAAATAATGCGGTTTGAGAATGGGCTCATTTTGTATCCTCATAGAGCTAAAATTCAACTGAGAAGAATAAAAACTCTATTCCAGGCTCTTTTAGAAAATGAAACTCTAATTTCAGACCATCCAAAGACAGAGAAACTAATTTTTGATCCTCTTGGAGTAGAAAAACATTAAAATTCTTGTTCTTGTCTGTCCTAGAGTAAAAATTGAACTGGAAAAGTATCAAATTCGATTCCTGACCATTTAAGAGTTACAGTTGAAATAATGCGGTTTGAGAATGGGCTCATTTTGTATCCTCATAGAGCTAAAATTCAACTGAGAAGAATAAAAACTCTATTCCAGGCTCTTTTAGAAAATGAAACTCTAATTTCAGACCATCAAAAGACAGAGAAACTAATTTTTGATCCTCTTGGAGTAGAAAAACATTAAGATTCTTGTTCCTGACTGTCCTGGAGTAAAAATTAAACTGGAAAAGTATCAAATTCGATTCCTGACCATTTAAGAGTTACAGTTGAAATAATGCGGTTTGAGAATGGGCTCATTTTGTATCCTCATAGAGCTAAAATTCAACTGAGAAGAATAAAAACTCTATTCCAGGCTCTTTTAGAAAATGAAACTCTAATTTCAGACCATCCAAAGACAGAGAAACTAATTTTTGATCCTCTTGGAGTAGAAAAACATTAAAATTCTTGTTCTTGTCTGTCCTAGAGTAAAAATTGAACTGGAAAAGTATCAAATTCGATTCCTGACCATTTAAGAGTTACAGTTGAAATAATGCGGTTTGAGAATGGGCTCATTTTGTATCCTCATAGAGCTAAAATTCAACTGAGAAGAATAAAAACTCTATTCCAGGCTCTTTTAGAAAATGAAACTCTAATTTCAGACCATCAAAAGACAGAGAAACTAATTTTTGATCCTCTTGGAGTAGAAAAACATTAAAATTCTTGTTCCTGACTGTCCTGGAGTAAAAATTAAACTGGAAAAGTATCAAATTCGATTCCTGACCATTTAAGAGTTACAGTTGAAATAATGCGGTTTGAGAATGGGCTCATTTTGTATCCTCATAGAGCTAAAATTCAACTGAGAAGAATAAAAACTCTATTCCAGGCTCTTTTAGAAAATGAAACTCTAATTTCAGACCATCAAAAGACAGAGAAACTAATTTTTGATCCTCTTGGAGTAGAAAAACATTAAAATTCTTGTTCCTGACTGTCCTGGAGTAAAAATTAAACTGGAAAAGTATCAAATTCGATTCCTGACCATTCAAGAGTTACAGTTTAAATAGAGCGGTTTGAGAATGAGCTCATTTTGCATCACCATAGAGCTCAAATTTAACTGACAAGAATAAAAATTCTATTCCAGGCTCTCGTAGGATATGAAACTCTAATTTCAGATCATCCAAAAAAAGAAAGACTAATTTTTGATCCTCTTGGAGTAGAAAAACATTGAAATTTTTGTTCCTATCTGTCCTAGAGTAAAAATTGAACTAGAAAAGTATCAAATTCGATTCCTGACCATTTAAGAGTTACAGTTTAAATAGAGCGGCTTGAGAATGAGCTCGATTTGCACCCCCATAGAGCCCAAATTTAACTGACAAGAATAAAAATTCTATTCCAGGTTCTCCTAGAATATGAAACTCTAATTTCAG